CTACAAGGTTTATAGACCTAATGAATTTTGTCAGTGGGAGCGTTCATATTTTACAAGTGGTTTATAACTTAAGGAATTTGGCAGGGATAGTAAAGAATACTAGGTAAATACATTCAGCCAATTTTTATTTATTAAAAAAAAAAACATGAGTGAAAGCTAAGGAAAACATGTTATGTTATCAGGACCACTGTCACAGTTTACAGTCAAATCACCTGCTTTTATAATTTCTAAACAATCATGTTAATTTTTATTTCTGGGCTGACGTAGGAGAGAAATTGCTCCCCAAAGTATTCTGTAACCAACTTAGAATTGATAATGTTAAGGTAGACTTTTCAAATTTTCCCCTATGCTTACTACATTGGAGTCTTTCGCGGCTGATTTCCAAAGAACGAGAAGCATGTCCAATATATTTCTTACCACTTTCACACGAGATACCATCTACACCTTGTTTTTACTCTTTAAGAATGTAGTACTTGTTTCAAGTTAGATAATAAGACACTATCTTATGTGAAGGTTTAAGTATGAGTTTTATATATGTTTTATGTTATCAAAATCACGAGACAGAAAATGAAAATTCAGACTTTTTTTTATATTTCGTTTTGAAATTAAGAAGTTTAACTTGTATGATATACAAAGTCGAATTATAATTTACACCGACAACAAAGTTTTTCAATAACATTTTGAATATTACACTGTTGAGGGTCGTGACATGCGCAAAAGAGTCAGGCCCGGAAAAAGTGTTAAATCGTTAACATTTTCAAACAACTACATTTCTGCGATTTACTCATTGGAGGCCTATATATTTACAAATATACAGTGTATATTTTAAGATGGAACTATTGTTATAAAAGAAATAGATATTATATTATTAGCAAATACATTTAAGTTGCAATATTGCCAAAGAATCAACTGTTTTACCGAAACTTTTTATTAAATATATTTCCTATCGTGGAAAACTAAAAAAGACGAGTCTTGAACAGCACAAGGTATACATCCAATAGGTCTTTATTACTTACTGTACGAAATAACAAGATAATATAAATTGTTATCATAATTACACCAAATACTTTACCAGTTCATAAACTAAATCTCAATATGAAAAAATACAAAACTATCACAAATCACCAATACAATCATAAATCTCACAAAACATCAATTTTGAATTACATTCTGTACGTTCTAGTTAATTATTCCAACAAGTTATTCATGATCATCTAACCACATCTTCCAATTAAAGTTTCAACTTCCCCCAAAAGTGTAAAAAAATTCTCACTTTAATCATGACAATCACCTGAAGGTAGTTGCTGCATTTTCGTTGCTTTTTTTTAAAGACCTTCAGGAAGTTTTCATAAAGATTAACAAGCAACACAACGGAGACTGGCTGAAAACAACGTTGGCAAATTATAACACATGAATTTTGTATACTGATATTCCAATATATATATATATATATATATCTATAAAGGATCACGAATTTCGGAAAAGTACAATAAATACAAATCTAACAATAACACACCTACAAATATGTATCTAAGTCACACGTAGGCTGGTTCACAATAGCATTTCAGTTGTGTTTTTGGCTTCCATAAATACAACTGATGAGTTCTGACATTAAATAAAAGGCCTTCTTAACAAAAGACATATCTGAATTTCTGTTTGTACACTTTTGATTTGAAAATTTTAGTTAACATATCTCCACTACAACGTAATTTTTATCACACCTGGTGTAGCGAAACGGTTTTACACTACAGCACTGAGTTTCCTGTACTGTATACAAATACTATTTCATATACTTTTCGACGCCATAGGTCCAACCTAACCGATACGTTCTGCTATTAAACAAAACATTTCTTCGAAAGCGACTTTTAGCAAATAAAATAAAATGCGCACGTGTTTAATACTCTTAACGAACAGAATGTGAAAAAATTATAATGTGACATTTTTATATTTTTTTTAGGTTTTAAAGTAACTTATAAAGTCAATAATACAACCATAAAATGCTATTACTTTATTACTAAAAATGTAACAGAGATGGGAGGTCTATTAGTCTGCTTAAATTTTTATCCGAAAACATTTAACTAAGTTATCATTTTACATTCTATGCACGTTCTATAGTTTCTCTCACAACATACAAGCCTAGGCCTAACTTTTCATCAACTATGACAATTAGGTTATTGATATTCATAAACACTTTAAAGCTTTATTTTATAAATAAGAAGTTAAACCTATATTTAAGATAATTTTAACATTTCATATTCTGTATCATTTATTAATATTTTCATTAAAATGTTTGATTGGTATTTTAAAAGGGGAAAGGGTCTTATAAGATTGAAATTTGCCTACTAATAAAACGGCCATTTGCTCAGTTTAAGGTAACTTTTTCCTACTTTGCATCCATTTTTAACATGAGTGCCACCTTGAAATAGCTTTAATCTTCAGTATATGCTTTGCACTAATCTTATGTACTCTAGATATCAGCCAATGAAACTGCATCATGCTCAGTAGAACCAATTTCGTAGTTACACATTAAAAATTATATTATCCAATGAAATTGGGACACTTTTGCTTGTGATAATGAAATCAATGATGTTTTGTGATACTCCTTATTGAGTGATTTATTGGGCTTACAATAAAGTAATTGTAAAGATACATTATTCAGTCATGCCAAAATAATACAGTTGTTCTGTACGCTTGGTTGGGTGTGTACTTAAAGGAAAAAGACATATCAGGATCATATGATGGTGACCTAAAAAGGTACAACTTAATAAAGAAGAAAATTTCTGTCAAGGATGCTGTTATATGTGCCAATAAATGCCATCAATATTACAGTTATTCCAAATGACATACATCTGATGACAGTGAAAATGGTAAAAATAATTCAAGCTATGCTCCTCCTCCACATTCCACTTCTGATACATCCTTGAGTAAACCAGACTGTACAAGCACTAAACATTTAAGACTGTACATTAGATCACCAGGCAACAGTCATACCAACTGTGCTGTGTCCAAAACATACTCAACTGGCTGGTGCAAAACTTAATGCATAAACCCCAGTATACATTATGCCTTATACTGTCATCCCTACTTGAAGCCCAGTGTTATAAAGATCATCTGAAAAGAAAACATTTTATACCCAACTTTGGTCTGATTGACCTTTTGGAGAACACATACAGACGCAGCTGTAAAAACAAACATTAAAAACAATGCAGTAAGAACAGACTCTGATGGGTCTCACAAGCTAACTGAAGGTGAAATATTTTTGAATCTGATTGGATTAGCCAAATCTCAGTTTGATGATCACCTTCCAGGATACCATCTTTGAACAGTACCCATGTGAGATCTGTCTAAAATTCTGCATTTGGAAAATACTTTTGCTGTAAAGAGAACAATAAACCCAGTTTATTATGCTTTGGTGAGCAATTGTTTTTCTGTATTTTAGATTTGGACATAACCTTTAGAAATTGATATCTAACCATGTCTGTCCTCTTGTATGGGAGCTTTTGGTAGTAGAAAACAAAGATGTTTTAGATGGCACTTATATGTACATCCAAAAAAATGAGTCAAACATGCATTCTAAAAACAAACTATCAATAAGTACAGACAGTGCAACTGTCAAACCAAAGAGTTGTATCTGCTGGTGGACACATGTATTAGCCCTTGGTTCCAAATCTTGCCAATACTGATTTAATAATTACTCATCTCATATTATGAAATGATGCTGAAAACATTCACCAATAGATACAGCCACATAATGCAGTTGTTATAAAAGAGGATATTGGGATGTAATTGGATATCCCATATAATGTGTTTTGAAATCCAGTTACAATTCTTTCTGCAAAAGGGCTTTAATCTTCATTCTATAGAGGAATCCAATTTTCCAAGACTTGTCATAAAAATGTGTGTGGCGGTATGGTATAAGCAATAACTGGTTGCACAATCCAGTGGAAGCTACCAGATATGGTATCTACAATCTGTTGACCTTTTATAGGGGATTATATAAGAACTGTAAGTGCTCTTTTCAACTGCTATCAGCCTACTTTCATATAAAACACAGAGTATGATTATATTGTTGCACAGTACATGCTAAAACTAGCGAAATTACCCAACACACTAGAGAACCTGAAGGCTTATTATGGAAGAGATTTATGAAGAAAAAGATTGATGCAGGTGATGTAAATTTGGACTTTCCATGAAGAATGTCTGTGGTTACCAAACTCCACTGAAGCAGGTGGTATCACACACATAAATACTTCTATAACAGGATGGACTTTATGAGAGGTGGGTCAGTAAACAAAAAGGAATAGTTTTCTCTCTGCAATGATTTCATCCTGATATGTTTCAATAAGGTAAACTCTTTCTGGATTCAGCATGATAAACAAAGTAACTCACCTTTTCTAACTTATTTTTGCCTGTATTACACAGGTGCAACAGCAATGAAGTGGTGTGTATATTCAGCATCAATAATGTGGTTACTATGACTTACACAACACAAGAAACACAGGTAATAAGGCCACTTGTCACAGCTGAAGGTATTTAGTATGCTGCAACAATCAATCAACGACTGCAGATGGAAAGTAAACACTTGATGTAAATGACACATAAGTGCCACATTTTTTATGTGAGAGTTGTGAACAAGATTAAAAGCAATTTTTTTTTACAATTTTGTGGTTTTCACACATTTGAGGGATAAGGTGAGCCAATGTATGCAAGCAACAAAATCCAAATAGTGGGTAAAATTCCAATTTTATAGACCCCTGTTTTTTTAAAATGAAGTTAAAATCCACTGTTACTGAACACAAGTTTATAAAGAAACAAGTTTTACCCCTTTCAAGTGTTCTCTTCAGTCTATCTTTTGCTTGTGAAAAAAATAAAAACAGCTTATCTTATAGCAAGAAGTTCCAAGTTGCTTCTGGGCAAAAGATATCAGAAGAGGTTCTTCTTAAAGTGACTTCAGAGGTGTTAATGTTTGGCAATCTTTGGATAAGCAAGCTTTCCACGGTTCTCATTTTGACATAATTTCAAGTTTAATATGTCATTTTGGCTAATTTGCAGCTGATATGATAATCACAATTCCTCAAGTGTAAAAAAATAACACTTGTTGCACCTTTCTGATGCCTTGTGTCATGAAACAACTTGGAACTTCCACTATAAAATAAGCTCTGTGTGTGCATTTCTTTCACAAGCAAAAGTTGTGCTGAAAAGGAGACATGAAAATGCAGAAGCCCGTGTTCTGTAATAGTGAATCTTAACTTTATTTTACATTACATGGTACTGTGTATTTACCTATCCTGAGTATTTACCTAAAAATCTGAGACTCTTAAAATTTCATCTTATTTTTATTTAATTAGTAATAGAATTCACATCAGCTGATGCCTTGGACAATAAGTTTTACTGTTATACTTTCTTCTTCAACACGTTTTTCTTCTTTTCACCTTCTCAATGTTTGTGAATTCCAGAATCTGTCGTTTCCATTATTCACTGTCAAATACAATATTCTATTTTTTGCATATGTATTTTGTGAGATGAGGAAGAGGTTTCTCTATTACTTTGTCCCTTGGACAAACATTTTTTCAAAAATTCCACACATCTACGTCAAACGGAATTTCAGACTTTGGAAAGAATTATTATTTAGAGGTTACTGTCCCCACTGACATTCTTGTTAGTACTAGTGTTACTAGTAGAATAGTAGTACCAAGATCAATCATAATGACAAACATGATGGTACCAGTATTACTGGGAGGCCGATGTCAAAATAGAAGAAGCCAATACCTTGATTACATATACAGGCCTGCTTAATGGTACCAGTATTACTTGGAGGTTTGTATCAAGCCAGAGACTACCAGTACCTGCATCAGTTACAATGAATTACCTGGGCAGAAGTGTTACTGGAAGATTGTTGCAAGATGGAGAACACCAGTACTTGTATCAGTCATTCTGATTTAACTAGTGGTTCAAGTATTACTAGGAGGCTTGTGCAAAAATGAGAGATATCACACTAACTGATGGCTCTGATGGCTTACATTTTTGAAACTCTTTAAAAAATAAAATGGAAATGCCTACACTCAACTGAAATTATTTTAACTAAAAAGGAACTCTGTGGGATAAAACATTGGTAAGAAAATGAAGCAATGGTTAATTTTTTCCATAAAACATTAACATTGTGGGTGTTTCGGGATGACATTTCACACATCATGAAATAAAACCAGACAAATCAATGTACACATATACAAATATATTCAGATACATGTGTGTGAGTATACACACTCAAAGATTTGTATATATATACATAACTTGTCAAAAATTAGAAGATAATTAATAATCTAATAAATAGTTACCAACATACAATAAAGGAATCACAATAATTTCACTTGATGGACATTAACTGATCAAGCTAAACAAAGAGTAGTGCATTTAAACGGAATACTGCTTTTCATCTCGATAAAAGGTTCTTATAAACCTATGTTATCAAATGTTTCAGTGAGCATCCAGTATCAGTATGTTGAAGAAAACAACCAATGAAAAAGTTGGGAGTTTTCTAGCAGTAAAACCAAAATCTCATGTCTATTCACATAGCTGCTTAACAGGAAACATAAAACTTACTTCTTGATAATTCTCAAAAAATAAGTAAATATTATGTAATAAAATGTCTTAATTAATCTCCATAAAACATCTCAACACTGGCTAGAATGCTTCTGTGAGAAGATGAGATTAACAATTAATATCAATCAAACAATAATTCTCCTCTTTTGCTTTGACCCACGTGGCAACTGTGAACATTTTGTAACTTACAGATCAGAAATAAATGACACACTCTACAATCAAATCTTTCTTGATCTTCAGTTACTCCTTGTACCATTAGTTTTGTTTTCCAAAACTGACCCCTAGAGAATTATGTTGAAGACTTGTCAGAAATTCTCTGAAACAGAAAAGAATTCTAGCATTTTTTCTTTCGTTTTACACATAGGAATTTAAAATATAATTATCATAGCTACTCAACAACTTTTAATTATCTGCACTTATGGAAACAAGCAAAAATACTCTTAAAACACTTTGAAAGGTACTACATGAACAAAGCATTTAAATCCTTAATATCTAAGTGTGAAAACACTCTTATGACTTTTAAATAGAAGTTTAACATCACGAACGTGATAATATGAAAATTTATTAAATGTTTTAGAATCTTTAAAATTCTATCATCAGTAATCTAGGGGTACAAAACAAACAAACAATATTTGTAATTACAACAGAAATATATACATAAGAAGTAAACAATTTGAATATACATGAAAATGAAAAACGTGGCACAGATGAAATAGTTAAAATAAGTTTAAATCATGTGAAGCCTGTATATTATTTAGGGATGGAAGGAGAGTTTTTATATATAATATTTCTTTTATAAGATGTTCAGTATCATGTTTGGCTGTTAGATAATTTTAAAGTTGGAGAGAGAAATCACATGTCCTACTACTGTATTTTGTTTAAAGATAGTGGTGTTGGGAGGGTTTATAACCTTTATTCCAGTTTTTATAGACATGACAATGTGTTCACATGCTCGTACTTTAAGGTGATGTTTGGTTTCTCTTTCAAACACAATCTTATTCTTTGTCTATTAAATACACCGTACAAATGCACCTCATCTTATCTAGCCCTTCATAAAGAAATTACTTCCATACAAAGCATTCTCTTTCGAAACAGCTACTCTAAACATTTCTTTATATATAACTTCCTCATTCTTAACTAATTTGTTTGTCAAACCACCTAAGATACCAACTGTACCCAAACTTCCCTTATACGACTGCTTACCATATCTTGGGAGGCAGAGCTCCCTTATCACGAAACAGTTGAAAAAATTATGTAACTCTTACTATCCTCAAACTGACCTTAAGGTTATTGTGAAACCCAATTTCAGACTAAAAAATTTTTCCACTACAAAGATTGTTTGCCGACTGCCCACATCTTATCAACTTATACACGTGTGGAAACTGTATGGCCTCCTATATTAGTCAAATCAAACGTCACCAAAATGATCACATGAGCATATCTATAAAAACTGGAAGAAAGGTTACAAACCCTCCCAATACCACTATCTATCAGCAAAATACAGAAACAGGATATGTGATTTCTCTCTCCAACTTCAAAATTCTCTAACAGCCAAAAATGATACTGAACATCTTATAAAAGAAACATAAAAACCCTCCTTCCATCCCTAAATAATACAGTCTTCACTTGATTTAAACTTATTTTAATTATTTCATCTGTGCCACATTTTTCATTTTCATGTATATTCAAATTGTTTACTTCTTATGTATATATTTATGTTGTAATTGCAAATACTGTTTGTTTGTTTGTTTTGTACCTATAGATCACCGATGATAGAATTTTAAAGATTCCAAAACGTTTAATAAATGCTTCCTATTCTCACATTCATGTTTTACTTTATCATTAAGTTATGTTTTCAGAAAAAATGAGTCAATTACAAGTTTAACATCTTAAATACAAATTTAATACTATCAAACATAAAGCACTTAACTTTAAGTTTAACAATATCAAACATAAAATACTCAAATTCAAGCTTAACAATGATAAATATAAAATACTCTCAATCAAAAGATAACTATTATTAAATCTAAGGCACTTGAAAGTACATTTTTAAAAATGATAAATATAAATACAACACTTTTCAAACCATCAAGAAAGCTAATCTTAAAAGAAAAAAGGTAAACATATTTTTAAAAGTGCTAAACAGTGGTAAAACATTAATACATTTTTCAAATGTGAATGTTTAAGTATCAAAAACATGTATCATTACAGTAAATAAAAACTTTTCAACTATATTCTTTGATGTCAATAAAAAAATCTTATATATCTTCATACAAACTCTGCACAAATTTCTGCATATCTCCCAAATTTCTAAATAGAAAAATCTTGATAAATACATGCCAATGGCATCTTAGCAAGCTGCAAAGCCACATATTTCTGCTATGGGTATCTGAGTGGGGCTTCAATAGACTTCCAAAAAGTGAAGTGCATTTCAGTTGGCATACAACAAATGTTTACAAGATGTGACTTGCTAGCTATCACAATGGCACCAAGTTTGTGAAACACCTCATATATCACATAAACTTAAGGGTGTTTAAGTTTAATCCAAGTATCTACGATTGTTGAGAGAATGATTGTTCTAATTGTTTATCTTAATCCATTGAACTTTACTAGTGCAATCTACATATTGAACAGAAACACAATTACAGAGCTTCAAGTTTTTGTAAACTCAGATGAAATATTAAGAGATAATTTTTACAAAAAGCATGGGAAATGACTAAATATCAAAATATATAAGGTAAAATCATAATTTGGAAAGAGAGGTAAAAAAAAGGAGTGCATGGCAAGTATAATATTTGTGAGCATAGGCGTAGGGGCTTGATTTTGACCGAGGGGGGGGGCAAGTTTAGCACAAGAATATAAAATTGACCTTAAAATCATGTACTATAAGGTTTAAATTCACTTGAAAAAAATGGTTCCAATGACTTCAATGCAGAACCATATGGCACTAAGGGGTTAAAAAAGGTGCAAGTGAAAATGTTACATGTGGATAATATATTTCCTGAAAAGACAGAATCAATTTGCAAATATAAAAGTTATAGATATGTTTGGAGCTATTGCCCGAATACTTTGGGTGATTTTTACCCGAAAAACTATTTGGGCCAGAATTTGGGGGCAATTGTCTCCCCTCCCCAAGCCTATGTTTGTGAGTTAAGAAATACTAAAGTCTCTTATTACTGTTTGCCAATTAGAGTGTAGTTTCTGAATTAATTTTGATTGGTTAGTTATGTCTGTATATGCATTCAGATTCAGGTTATCTTTTAATGAAACTGTACCAGGTGATTTTGTTCAAAATTTTTAGCCATGGCATAGCAGCTCATAGAATGGCTCCGAGTTTTTTTATTTCAAGTACAAACTTTTAGCTCATAGGTCCATCTCTTGACTGATTTGAGATCTAATTACAGTCATGGCTATTGAGGATTCCCTCTTGTTTAGTTTTACTACCAATCATTTTAGCATCTATAAAATCCTCAATGATTATGCTTTATTAGTAATACAGTACCAACTTCAGTCTAACATCACTATAATCTAATTTCTAAAACCATGCAAAAAAGGAAGATTGAAATTAGCTGACTTTCTTCTGTAATACTCATAGATAAACCCTACATTCTCCAATATTTTTGAATACGTCCAATTTTTAATTTTATCTATAAAAGTAAAAAATTATAAGCAGTAGAATATTTTTTGTGAAATTTGTCATATTTTAGCCTGGATATGGCTGTAGTAAGTCTACTGGAAGTTTAATGAAACATTGTCTTTGTATATATATTATGTTCTTTAAATCCTGTTTACAAAAGCTTGTAGCAATCTAAGCAAAACATATACAAGACACACTTCTAACAAGATGCATCAAATTAAAGCAAAACTTACAGATGAGCATAAAACAAAATCTTAAAAATACATGACGTGCAGAGTAATGATTTGTGTTGGATTAATAAACAAAATTAAACACAACTGGGTCAAGTTCTTGGATGTTCTAAGTATTTAAAAAAATAGAGAAAAAATAGTCCTAGCTTTGGAATAAACCAAGTTTTTAAATTTTAAATTAATTAAAAGAGAAAACTTCAGAATGTTCACTTATGAATATTGTACATTAAGATATATGTTCAATAAAAAAATTATTTTTACCCTAATCCATCTTTAGAGGCCTGCCTTTTATGTCGTTCACTGTCATGATGTTGTTCAGGAATAACTGTTTGAGATTAAAGAAATATATATGAAATTAATACAAATTTCTGGATAATATAACTGTACAATAGTTTCCACCAATAAAATTAGATAAATGAGAAAACTTTTCAAAATGTGTTTTTGAAAACAATATTCCTGACTACTGTTTAAGAAAAAGTTTTAGATTTGAAGTAATGATTCATTTAGAAAAGTTTGACCAGTTGATAACGTATGTCTTCTTGGAGTCAGCTAGAAATCACTGCAAATGGTTGAAATTCATTACTTGTTACAACTATTACTCTATTATCCAATTCACAAACTGGCTTAAAGGTTATTTTTCTGAGTTATATTGTAGTCCTTGACTGTGAATATGAAATTTTCTGACTTCTAAATAAAACTGTAAAACTACAAATAAAACTAACAACAACAAATATTGCATAGTGAAATTAACAATAAATAATATAGTCAGAGATGGGGCAAATACTGGAGATCAATAATCAAATACAAATACGAATACTCCATATTTTTATGAATATGAATCGAAAAACAAATACAGGAAAAATGCTAAGCATTCAAATACAAATACATAAGAATGTATTCATGAATTGTCAAGTAATATGCAATAATGATAAAACAGCAGACGATAAGATTTCAATACTTTTATTTCTCAATTTGCTATAACGAAGTTTTAGAATAAAAAATAAAAACTTATAGATATTATTACTGTCCATTGTTATTTATGAACATCAGTCTCTCAAATGTCTTTTCAGAGAGGCAGCAGCGATCAGGTCTGATGGTTTTTCCTCTGATACTAAACAAATGCTCAATGGGAGAAGAAGATGCTGGAACACTCAGGTAGCATTTGGCTTATAGAGATAAGGTAGGAAAGTTTTTTTTCATGGATCTTCAAATAATCCTTTGATGATGAGGTGGTTGGTTTCTTGGAGGCAACAAAGAAACTAAAGAGCTTCTTTTGTGAGGGGGGGATTTACAGTCCTCTCTTGGTTCCATGTTTGTAGGATTATTTGTTGAGGAAACTTTCTTGACTTGCAGGAGCATTCAATTGGATTCACAGACCATAGGTCTAGCGAAGTTAAAATCTGAGATCCAATGCCACAGCCAAGCAGAAGACACTTTGTTGCTCATACTGAGGCAGCCGGACATGAACAGATTTCTTAAATGCAGAGACAAGATTTAAAATATATCTGGACTGCATGCTGTCAATCTCTGTCATCAGCCCATAAACACATGGCACCACATAACTGGAGGTAACAATGTTCTGACCCTGGGTGAAATCTGTTGCCTCTTCAAAAGGTGTTAGTATTGTCACCAAATCTGCAAGCACAGTTCGATCATGAAAAGTAAGTTTTGAGGTACCAGTAACTAGATTATCCAAATTCTCCTGGGGAATCTTCAATAAAGACTTAATAATTTTAACTTCTGAGTTCCAATGTTTTGGTGTTACCAACTGAACTATGGTTTCTCCATCAAGTAGATCAGTTGCTTGCATTGATTTTTGAATGTAGGACACAATGGCTGATGCTTTGGAAATTACTTTCAGCAGTGGTTCAGCTTTATTTATGCCATTCCTGACCATAAGCTGTAACATGCAAGAAAAGCAGGGGTCATGTTCAGGAATAAATTTGGATAAATTGCTGATTTAGATTCATCCAACAATTCATCTTCTGAGTCACTATCTGTAGATGAACTATCACCATCTCTCACACTAGGTAGTTTTTGCAGTTCAAATCCAGGAAAGCAGAAAGCCTTGATCATGTTGGATGCATAATTAGATGTCACATATGACACCTTGTTGATGTTAAAGACATTTATTATTTCATCATACTGAGCAGCAACATTATCAGAGGTGTGATGCCCCTTGAAACACCGATATACTAGCATGACCGTTTGCATTTTCCAGTCAAGTATAAAATTATCAGTGACTTTAAGACAGCTGGACATTTGTCTGCTACTCCAGGTATTCACAGTGACATTGATGTTGGGTACAAGTTGCAGTAGAGAAATGACTTTTTGTTGGACTTCATTAAACCTGCTCTCGGCCAACACTGTGGAAAGATACTTGTGACTCCACTTGTAAGAAGGATGCAGTTTACAGGCAAAAATATTGACAAGTTTGTTAGTGATGTGTTTCTGATGAAGGTGTGTAGACTTATATTTAGTTGATTCTGTACAGTTAACTGTCACTGTAGGCTGTTGCACTTGGGTGGAAGTACCAGAGCCAAATATATACTTCTGGAGCTCTGCCTCATCATTACACTAGAAATATAAAAGCATATCTCAGTTATATAATATAGAATATAGCTTATAATAAAAATAATAAAAAACATATAACAATAAATAAAAATGATGAATATAGTTCAAAACATGAGAAATGTAGTTTAATTAGTGAATATAGTTTATAATAAAAATAATACAAACATATAATACTAAATAAATGAATATAAAAATATCCTATGTGGTAAATTCTTCGAAAAACAGTTCTTTGAAACAAACATTCATAAGCACTACGTGTCCACTAAATAATTAGGACTACAAATTTTCACATATCATACTGGCTGTATAATGTTTGTTTCATTTTAATTCTTGTCAGAGCAGAAACATGGAACTAAGGTCGCAATGCAAGTCAAGCAATAACACCTTGTAATGTCAGTGACCTTGACCTCAAATGAGAACTTGAGCAAGTAATGAAGTAATCCACTGGCAGTGTACTTTGATGCACCACTCAAATGCAAAACAACAATAACAAAAAAGGAACCCTGACCAAGATGCAGTTTTACTATACATATATATATAAAGAAAGGAAAATTGTTTTGATGTGTTAGTCTCTGCCATCACTGCTGAGGAGTGTTGGGTGATTTGAAACATGTAGAGAAGTGTGTCTGAAAGTGATGAACAGTCCGGTGAAGTGGTTGTACACAGAGTGTGTGTGTGTGTACAATACAGAAAAAGGTGTTATAATTTTATTGCAAACTGTTTCCCCCCAAAATGTTAAAATTTGTTGAGAGTGAGAAAGACAAACCTTATAACAGATATATATTTGTTAAAGACAAACAAGTGCAGGAAAAAGTTTATTGGAAATGTGAGCAACTTGAAAAAAAATGCAAAGGTTGTGTGATAACAATTGATGATAATGTTCTAGAGTGTTGTGAGCACAACCATTATGGCAATGCTGCTAGTATTAAAGCTAAGCATGTAATGCACAGCATACAAAATGATTAAAAAAATACAGGTGATGAACCACATTATATTGTCTCACATGCATCCTTTGGACTCAGCCAAGCTGCAGCAGCTAAGTTGACATCTGTTGATGGCATAAAAAGAACTATTTGGAATTTATGTGGGAAACAAAATCTAGGGTTAGTTACTCCAAATTATCAAAGAGATATTGTTTTTTCAGAAGAGTACACTAAAACTGAAAATGGAGAACAGTTTTTAATGATTGGCTCTGGTATGACAGATGATCGAATATTGATTTCCTGTACAAGAAGGAACCTACAATTATCAGCAAGTTGTGATCATTTGCATGCTGATGGAACATTTAAGACTGTTCCAAATATTTTTGAACAATTATATATGATTCACAGGCTGCAAGAAAGCATTGCCATCCCTTTAATTTATGCATTGTTGCCGAATAAAAATTATCACACATTTATTAGACTTCTTAGAGAGATAAAGGGGTTAGTCCTGCCTTACATCCCGTGTCTGTACTAACAGATTTTGAGCTTGTTTCTGCAAATCATTCAAATGTATGGAAATTAACTTATGTGATAAAGAGTGAATAAAGTCTGAATGAGCTATGTACTGAGTAGCTTTTGAGTGGCCATGAACCTTCTATTGGTTGGAAAAAATATCATGACTGTGCAGACAGATTCAAAAGACTAGTGAATAATATGAATGATTATTTGCATGTTTAAAATAAATAAATAATATTGATTTTTTAAAATTATTTTTAATGGTCTAATTAAAATTACTTATTGTAATATCATGATGTAATAACATTCTCCATTCTGATTAAATATCTCATTTTTTACATATGTATGTCTTTCCCTATGTATTGAATAATATCGGTCCATTTCACTTCGAAAGTTTGTCGAAAAGTAAGTTATATGCCTTTTTTATATTTTATAAATTAGTATTTAATTAAAAATTGATCTAAAAATTGGACATTTGATTAACTGTTATTTTGAAGATTTGTTTTTGAAGAATTTTCTGTAAACCAAAAAATATAGCTTAACATGCAAGAGAAATTTAGTTTACCTATATTATATTGTATAATTTACATAGACTATAGTTCATATTAACAAAAATAATAAAAAGGCTTACCTTCAGATGTGTCAGTAGGTTAGAAGTGGTTTTTCCTGAAGTAGAAATAGTCCGCTCACAATATTACACTTTGCCTTGATGTGATCAGATCTAACAGTAGGAAGTGTTCATGTACCACTCAAGGCAGTTTAGTAGCCATCTCAAATTCTCTCAAGTGACTTGACTGGATTAATAATCATGTAATACAATAACTTTTAAGGTGGTTGGAGAGTACTGACCTGATTTAACCCTCTCACTACAGGTATCCTTTACTGCGCATGTCATGATGTTTTTAGTAACTCATATTTAATATTTAATTAAACTACATTTTGTTCATGTTATGCCAATTAGTATAGCATAAAATCATAGCTAATAATCCACATTTTAATAGTATGTACGTTTTAATTATATAAGGCAATATTTAAAAACAATCCTAAATTCCCCTAGTGTGAGAAATGTCTTTTTTTCTCTAGGCAACTCCTCTTCTCTAATTTATTTACCACCCCTCTAAAAAGTACAAAATGTAACATAAATTACTCATTATAATATTATCATTGCTCAGGCAAAGCATAATTTTCATAGCCTTCAATTTTGTTTGGTTACACAATCATCAAATAGAAAATCAGCCCCTTTTTGCCACACCCACATCTGTCACATCCTCTCTTTCGGGATTTGTCAATAGTTCTCTCTGACGTTCAATAC